TGGCTTCCTCCATTACTGGAGCAAGCAAGCCTCCTGTTCGCTTCAGCTGCCTGGCTGCCGGCCGCCATCTTGGTTGGCAGTTAATTTGCCAATGGGAAGGGTAGCCAAGTTATGGTTAATTACCATGTTTCTCTATTATTAGATAGGATGAGGATGACGGAAACTCTAAACATATAATCCTAAGTGTGAATTTGTCTCTATCCCTTACTTTCATTTGAAGCAGAGTTTTAGCTGCTGTGAACTTAAATTTTCTCATCTACAGAACTGAAATAATTTTAATAACAGGTTTTCAAGATTAAATGTGATAATGGTATTTGTCACATCAATGCCAGCTAAGTCATTCATCACATTGGAAAAATATACCTTAGAACATGAATAACTAAAAAATATTTGGGCCATTCGATTACACTCAAGTATAAGAATTAGTTGTCCCCAGAAAGCAGGGCTTCAGTCTATTAACAAGAACATTTGCCAGGAATTGTTATAGCCATTCATTTCTTCTTAGAGTAAAATTACCTTTGTTTTTGTAATGATGCAAATATACATATATATGTATATATGATATAATTGTGCATAGATATTTGTTAATTTAGACAATGAATGTGCCTGTAGTCATGTGTTAGTATTTATCCTTACACAAAATGTACCTACAAAAACCACTATGACAAATAGCTCATGTGGGGAATACAGAAAGTAAGGACAGCTTAGTGTTTCAGGATATGGAGAATGGCAAAGCAAGCAAAATGTTTCCAGTCTCCATCATGAAAGCTATCCCTAAAGAGCCCCAGTGATTTCCTCAGAAAATGCTCTGCTTGGGGGGAAATATAAAGGCTGGTTTGGGATCTAATTTTTGAACATGGTTTCACATTAGGCTTAGTTGAAGAGAAAGTAGAAAAGAAAGTATCTCAAGAAAATGTCCAATAGAGGAAGGCTAGACGTAAGAAAATACAGAGGCCAATAATGTAAGAAGTAAGAGAAAGGTCTGAGAGTCACTCACAGGGAATTTAAAAGATGAAAGGATACAATAAAGTACAATTATTGGCAGGAAGGAGAGACTCTGATGAGTTCAGAAGCTGAACTATCAAAAGTTCATCTTAAGTTGTTCTATTAATGGAAAGATATATCAGTCTTCAAAAAAGGTTTCTCTGTAGAAGACAGAAAAAAAGGAACGCCATGCAACTTGTGGGGTTAGAAATGAGAGAATAATGCTTCTACATTGCTCTTCTTCAACCTTCATATTCAATTGAATTACTTTTTATTTTTATTCTTTCATATCTCTATAATCTTTCCGCATGTCACTAGTTGGTGTTTGCACTCTAGTCCAGGCTTCTATCATCTCTTACTAAAATCACTATACCGACCAACTTACTTGTCTTGGGAAGTTCACTGCTCACCTACCAACCCACCCCTGATCTCTTAAATCTCTACTAAACATAATAGCTATTATGACCTTTTCCAAAGGCAAAGCTAATCATGTAGCCGCACCCTCCTTAGAAGACTTCCTTGGTTCTCACTATTTTCAGTATTAACATAAAAATCAACAACTTATCCCATAAAGGCTGGCATGATTTAGTTTCTATTTCTTTTGTTCCATCAGTTTGTACAACACATCCCTCTCATTCTGGGCTCCATTCTATTCATATACTAGCTCTCCTTCAATTACTTACCCTATAGGAAATATTCCAATATTTGTGAAAATGACAGAGTTAATTATGATTGATCCTAAAAAATATATGTATTATTAGTGAGAAAATATTATTGCTTAAATTTTGTTTAAGAATTATACATACAGTCTGCTAAATGGAATTTATTCCTTGTGATTTTTCTCAAAGATAAACTCACCAAATTACTCATAGTTACTAATCTGTTATTAGAGACAGAAAATTGTTCCCCCAATTTTTTTGAAGTAGAATCTTGATTACTTTATAAAATTAACAGAGCTTTTGGGGGAATATTTAAAAAGTGTTGGAACAAATTTTTATCAGACTGTCAGTTTTGGGAGGCACCAATGCCCTTTAACTGGTCTCTTGTGATTTGTAATGACCATTACCTAGGCAGTCTTTTAAATCTAATCTAACAATGATTATTTCACTATGTTCCCTGATAAATATTCTGCAAAAGAAGAAATCTTTACATTCACTTTTTTTTAAAGGTTCTTCTCTTATGGCAATTTTGAAATAAATATTTGAACAAGCTTATAACCAATTCATTCACCTTGCTTTAAGAGTACTAACCTGAGAGCTAGCATAAATAAAAGTGCGTTAGTGGTACTCAAGCCAGCTTTTAGTATTATGTGTGGAAACTCTTGAAAAGCACTGTGGTTTTAAAACCTGTACTTACTGCTTTCTTTAAAAGATTGATTTATTGCTCAAATAAGTTCTAATTTTAAAATTTTCAGTATGCTTCAAAGCATAGGAGTTTAAAATATCTATATGGATTACTGATTATCCTGTTCTCCATCCTCCTCCAAATCTCTCTATTATGCTTGGGGACATGAAATTGAAGAGAAACACTTTTTTATTTGTTTGTTTGTTTGTCTTTGTTTTCCCTTTTTGCAGTCATAGCAAACAGCAGATGCTCAATTAAGATTCACTCAATAAAGTAATAACTGATCCAGAAATCACAATATACCAAAATTTAAGCAAAGATTAAGATAATTCAATGCTAAATATTTACATTTATATGTATGTCTCACTTCAGCTATGTTTTTCCTTTGGGAAAAGTTATTATTTTTTTAATGGCTAATCCAACAATATTTACCGAGAACCTATGATTCAACCTGTTGGTCCGGGAGGTGGATAGGACCAGGTTCGCTATCTCATTTGTGTAGTCTAGTTCTATAGAATGATATGCAAAAGGAAGTTGATAATAAACTTGAGTCAGAGGGGGAAACCAGCCCTTCCCAATAACCTATATTTTTATGCAAATATAACTATGCCCCATTAGCAAATAGGAGTCTTTTAACCTGTTTATTTAGAAATCTGTACATTTTAAGGAGATCTGTTCTGGAACTTTTTCTTCTTGTGAAACTAGATTTGTAGTTATCACACTATGTGCAACATAATTATAACATCCCACGATTGTTAGGACACACCATGTTATTAAATCTCTGAATAATCAGTTCCAACTTAATTAACAACATAGAATTGGATAATAGGAAAAGAGCACAAAAGAGCCTTGTGCTAACTGCTAAGTGAATAACACATTTTTTAAAAATTGTAACGTGAAAATTTTTTACCTCTTGAAATAACAGTTTCTAGTCCAGTTCCATTAATAAAAGCACGTTTAATGGTTTGAGTTTTAATATCTGTCCAGTATAAACGTTCTTCAGATGCATCGAAGTCTATCACAGTAACATCATCAATATCAGGGACTGTAAAGGCCGTGATAAAGTTAAAATACGGGTTGTCAATATCCACTCCTCTGATTTCAGAACGCCTTGCGTAAAGAAGAAATTTTTTCATTTCTAGAAAATAAATAGAAATAAGTGCTTTTCTCTTATAAGCTTGGCAAGTTTGAAGCAGTCTTGGAATTCTAAAATAGTACTTGATGATTTAATAGGTTTTTAAAACCATAAAACCATAATCATGATCTGATGGAAATATTAAAGCAAAATGATTTATCTATTTTTAAATTAAAGTACTTAATAGAAACAAATGTAAAATAAGTTGTCATCATTTTTCTTTAGTTAGAAATGCCAATAAATTCTCAATAACTGATTTGACTTTATAATTTCAAACAAACTTACTAAAATGCATGAACTCTACAATTGTTAAACAATCATTTTATCTTTATGTATAACTAGAGGCCTGGTGCACAAAAATTTGTGCACTCGGGGGAGAAGGGGGGGGTCCCTCAGCCCGGCCTGTGCCCTCTCGCAGTCTGGGACTCCTCAGGAGATAACGACCTGCTGGCTTAGGCCTGCTCCTGGGTGGCAGAGGGCAGGCCCAATCCCTAGGTGCAGCCCCTGGTCGGGCTCAGAGCAGGGCTGATTG